ACATCGCAGCTGACGTTCTTTTGCGATGCAAAACTCCCAAAACTGCACAATTTCGGACGCCTAGTGAGTGAGGATCGATCAGCTGATTGGGCGACGAATTTGAAAAAAAAAGTTTTTGCATTTTTCTTGCAGTTGTTGCTTGTTTTTGATAGCGGACCGCTTCAGATAATAAGAAGGTAAATTTACCTTTCTACTCATTTTTCTCCAGATATAATTTTTCTTTGTATGAATGCCAAATATTGCGTATTTGTTTTATTTGTTTGTTAGGTGAAATCTCTGATAGCGGCTATCATCGATTTTTTCGACAGCGGCCGTTATCAAAGTTCGCCAGGCCAAAGCAAAAATGGCGACGCTAGCCGCACTCGAACCACGGCCTGCCGCTTGAAACGCATTATTCTTATCCATTTGACTACTGATGCACAAATGGCAAAAACGTTTCCACTTTGAAAACGCGAACATCCAGTAAGTGATCTGCTCCAAATCAATCGCTCCCCTGGCAATGTCCTGAGGCGCAATGAGATCAACTCCGGCCCGCCTCAAGAGAGATGCCCTGATTTACTACGGGCCTTTAGCTTTGGCTTCATACTTCCGTAGGTCAAACTCTCTCCAAATGATCATAGGATAACTTGTAAAGTCCATCATTCTATCAAATATAAAAGTAATAGCTTGGCTCCTAATCAAGAATTTGAGTCTACAGCATATCGTCGTCAAGAGGAAAAAAAACTTATGAGACAATCGTAATAGTTGGTCCGTACATATTAGAAGACCTTTATGCATGCTGCATCTGAAGTCTAACTCATCTGATGTTCTTCAGGAAACGAGGATGCAACATTGTATACCGTCTTGCCAAATTAGGCGGATACCAAGCGCTTTGATCAAATTTTTTTTGCATGCTGTCATCAACAAAACACTGAAATTACCGTGCTTTTGCACTGATCCGTTGAATACAAGATTCACTTGAATAAAACATTTGGAGTGCTGCCAAAAACGATTACGTCCACTGTCGCTCGAGCAGTCTTACCGGAAATGTAGTGAAATCCTCGAAAATAGCGCTATAACGTACGTCGTGACTTGAGAGTACTAGCACATTAGCCTTCAACTATTGATTGCGCAAATCAGTAGGTTGTGCAAAAGTAATGCATGCACCTTACTTTGAAGTGAGAGGGAAGATATAATACAGGGTGCGGCAAAAGTCTGGGAGCCTAGTACTTTTTCGTACAAAACGAGAAGGGAAGTACCTAGAAATGAAAAATTTGGCGCACACATAATTCGAACGATTGCAGATACAGCCCAGTTCTTGAGTTGCAAAACTTCCTCTTTTAGCTTCCACGCAGCCCTACAAAATCTTGGCAGGTCCACCTGTCATGGCACGCAGGTAGTCGTAATGGAATTTGCCCCACGCCTTCAAAATAACTGCTCCTTTCACCTTGGCAAATGCGCAGCATGATAGAGCAGACTTTTGTCTACAACATACTTCCAAAAGAATTTTTGCATTGCTTAGGAATAAAAATGTTGGATTTTAAATTAGAAGCATGTGTACGTCGCATACCGGAATTTTGGCTACAATTGCGCGAATAAAAACTTAAAAATATCGTTTAAAAAGTATAAAAAGTGTTCCCATGGCCGAATTTCAATAGATTCTAATTAAGAGGACGTATGCAAAATATACAGCTTTGGTCCCAGTGCCTGTTGAGCATTCTATAGCTTTTAAATTTGTTCTGAAGACGGATTTCCACTGGCACGCAGGTAACATTCGCAAACTTTTATTTTCCGTTCATGCAAGAACAGCTCCTGGCAAAAGCAAAACTAGGATACAATAGCGCGAAGCCTCTTCTATGTTGTGTGCATCGAAGTTTTGTGAAATATTAACAGCATCTCTAGCTACAGCAAAAATTGTAAATAACAAAAATTCCGGTTTTTTTCGCCTTTCAAAAGTACCAGTTTGGTAATTTCCATTCTTACAAAAACATATGGCAGCCATTTCCAGCCAAATAAAGTGTATTCTGTAGAGGATGACCGCAGCATCATGTGGCATAAAATTGAAAACAAAACCATCAGTATCTTTTTGATTGCAGTACTGCAAAGTTAGGCTCCCAGACTTTTGCCGCACCCTGTAATGTACAAAATATATCATTCGATAGTGGAGCAAAGTTTATAATAGTAGACATTCTCAAAAGCTTCAATCTACGTGAACTTGCAAGAAAAAATCTAGAGTATTCTGAATACCCAGAAATCAGATTTCCGTTTAGAAAGATCCTGCTAACTATCCTGCCAATACTTGGTCAAGCATGCAGGTCGTAGCTCAATATTTGCAAAAAAAATTCGATAAAATTGACAGAGATAGCGACAATTCCAAAAATCAGAAATTATCTACACATATAAGAAAATCATATGCGCACCTACCGCATTTTTTATGAAATGGAAATTGAAAACTAAAAGAACCCAAAAATCGAAAATGTCGCTTTTGGGCTTTTGTGACAAAATTGTATATCCCTGGCAATCAGCGCTCGAAGAAGACCCAAACAGGGCCCAAAACGAGGTTGGCAAATGACAGCTGGGAATCGTTTCGGGTAAAAAAGCAAAGGGGATATCGTTTTTGCGGGGGCGAAGCCCCGAAAAAAAATTGGTAGTTCATGCTTTCTGCTTATCTCAACATGTTATGTGCCTCAACAGGCGAACACTGGAGTTCGCGCGTCAAAGCGCGTCGTAGCTAATTGCCGCACGCGCGACGTCGCTCAAACGATGCTATTTAAAACATCATACATGAATAGCTCTCAATGCATGCATAACTATATGGCTGTTTCCACTAGCCTCTCTTCTTACGAAATTTCGTAAGAAGAGAGGCTAGTGGAAACAAAGTATGAAAAATTATGAAAATCTTATGTGAACGGAAGGTGTAATAAGCATTTTTTCCAAAAATTTTGCATAACTGGTAAGTAAAGATGTGAATTCAAATGACTCGTCTGCAACGCACAGATGACGATATGGTATGAAACTTGGTATGTACATGCACACGGGCTTGCAAGGTAAATGAGAAGTTTCAATGAAATTATGTGACTGAAGTTGTGGCAAACATTTTTCTGAAAATTTCCCGCTACCAAAGAGGTGAAGAAATCGCGCGGGATTTGGTGTGCATATGCGCAGTAGGACTAAGGAACAAAGTATGAAAAAGTATGAAAAACTTATGTGAATGAAGAGCGTGCCCAACTTTTCTCCAAGTTAGGTTGTCTTCAACAACCTAATGACTACCTGAGATTGACAAAACTCTCAATACATAATTTTTTCAAATTTCTTACATACATCTGCTCTATACCTGAAGTTTACTTTATGGTAATCATCATAATCATCATTAGCGAAAGCAGTTTTGAGATCAGCATTCGAGGAGTTGTCTATCCATAAGCATCACTTTCCATATGGCCGCTTCGATTAAAGTGTCTTCCCGGTCAGACCATCAGGTGAAATTGGAGAACGCTTAAAACTTCAAAATTGGTTACTCTTGACTAACTCGCAAAATCTGGTTCAAAACAGAGAGAGAGAGAATTAGTGAAACTGAGAACTATGTCCAATCTCTGCTCACGGAAAATTTTCACGAAAAGTAGCCTAAATCTGAAGGCATGATTGCATCACAACAATTTGAGAGTTTTCGCAAAATTGCATTATCACTCAAGCAGTATAGTAAATCAAGCCCAGCACTTCTCAGATATCAAACATCGAGTTTTGTAGGATTATGGTTGGCCTTTGGTGATTTTGGAGCTCGTCAGTCGATATCAGCAATTTAAAGGCAGTGGATCGGCAAAACTTGACAACCAAGATATTAACGCGGTAGGTTCCTTATCGCCCAACTATGAAAACAGTGCAATCCCGGTTGCACACCATGCTTTCCCTGACGAAAAAATCGCTCTCGAACTTACACGCGCAGGCCAATCTTACACGCATCTGGACGAGTTGGCAATTTCCTTCTCACCATTGGAGGCTGCCCGCCGCAACGCTATAACCCTTGGGTCCGGCTACGATTTAGCGTCATCGGCCTTGCTGCACTCGTCCACTATCAAAGGGAAGGGCATTGAAAAACGCTCATTTTCGCCGTTTTCAAGCTTTCAAAAGTAGATTTTCGGGATCAGCGTATTGAAAAACCCCAGCTAAGCGCAAATTTGACTAGGTTGAGATTTGCCGAGCCATTGCCTTTAAAGTTTGTAAAAGCGTTCTTCACCTCACTTATCAAGAAAGCTCAGAAGTTTCCAAGACTTTCGCGTGGCATGTATAGAAACTCGCAAACTCAAACCAGCTGTTCGTCGAAGCAGATTGATTAAATGCTTTTAAGAGGGAATAAATCCAGGTCATGTTTATCCCTCGAATAATCTTTTAGAGTCGAGGATTGCAAGAAATGCAGTGGCGGATGAAAAAAGCAAGTGGGTTTATACTAGAGTCCAGTCCAGCTTGAGAGCTTTTTTGAAAATTTCCCTTTTCTACCGTTTCAAATCAAAGAGATTGGAGGCTGTTGGGGGATTTAATGGTACGCTTGCATGTATAAAACACAGCAAAACTTCAAATTAATTCCTCAAAAAGGCAAATCATGGCGATATTGAGAGTGGATTACAATAGTGTACTCACTGTATTGCTCCTCAAAGAAAAGTAAATGTGAGGTGAATGATGGATCAGTACTCTTTTCATAAAACACCGCTGTTCTTCAGTTCTCAAGGGCCATACTTGACTAATTACAGAACACTGTTGCTATCTCAAAGTTCTATTTTGCGCCATACTGTGACTAAGCAGGTCATAGTGTCTTGATGATTGCTGGAGAATTTTTTCTGTAATCTTACTGAAGACCAAGCTTAGCAAGCCGTAAAGCTTCCTGTACCAGATTTGATGCTTCATTGATTTCAAAACTTTCGATAGAGTCGTCGAAAAAAAAAACTGTCATGATATATTGTGACAGCGGTTCCTCTGCCTTAAACGAGATTAAAAAGTCTGAGACTTATAAGCATACTGCCATGACAAGAGTACAATGAATCATCACCCAGTATAAAACCCCCTCAGGTTAGAATCTAGTTTTATATTCATCAGATGTTTTCGTCTGTGCCCGTTGTTCTCCTTGTGGCTATCATTGCCCACACGCAAGCGCTCGAATGTTACCAAGGTGAGTCTGTTGTATTAAATCGTAAGCCCACTTGAACAAACAAGCTTGCAAGCCACGTCTTCAAGTCTTAAGGTTTTTGCAATTTCAAAGAAATGAAGACCCTCTGTAAACATATATTTGCTCGCACCATATTTCTTGAAGGCATTGCCCCGACAAATTTTGCACTTCCACATTTCTGCATGTTTCAGGGCTTTTTACACATAGTTTTACACATAGTTTCTGAATTTGAGCTTTGAACCGGGTGAAAAGACGGTTACCCACTTTCCAAAAGTCAGGTCACACGAGAGTTTCAACGAAAGTTGGGAGACTCTGGCACGAAGACACTGTCTCCTGTAGTTTTTGCTTTGGATAGCATGCACAATACGGGAGAGGTCATAGGGTCCCGCGTCGAACAAGTAAGCAAACGTCCGTGCGCGCGTCGGTCCGGCGTAGGGGAACATCAATCAGCCGGACTAGGAATAGAGATTAGTGGGGTAAAAAAAAACAAAGCCCACCATAGCTATATCCCCAGTGTGCGAATCTGCTACGACAATGCCTTTAAGACTGCTTTTTACTTCCTCCGCATGTGTACGAGCTATCTGCTTCCGCAGGTACAATTACGTCGGCAAGGAGGCGTTTCTCTGGAAAAACGTATAAATAATTTAAAATTAAAATTTCGTGTCTAAACCTTTTTGAATGCAGTCTAACTAGAAAATGACAACGGGTCTGCCCCGAAGGAAGATGCATGTCACCAGACGCGCCTTCAAACGCTAATTCCAAATCTGCTTTTTTTCCAGCGGAGCAACTCTCCAAAAGAAATAAGCTTTCGAAAGTCTAAAATTGTCAAGTCTTGAGTGGCATAAAAGTAGCGAAAACCTGTCCAAAAACGCCAGCAAGTGGATAATCAATTTTGAATCACGTATGCTAACTACAAGGAAGGATCACAGTCAGTAAAAGTCCGCATAGATGTTTTTGTACACACTGATTTTATGAGGTTTGAGAGATTTGAGTGAAATGATCTTAACTTTTCAGAAAGTTGTCCGCAGAAAAAGAAGGCAGATTTCGAGCCAGCATTTAAGACGCGCCTAATGATATACAGTTCTTTTCAATTTATCAGATTCTGTTGTACTCTGCTTGAAGACCCAAACAAATCGGACATGGCAGATTTCCCGTAATCCAGTACCTGAACCTTGGTGAGGCACTGCCCCTGGTCGTCGACAGACTATAAGGGTAGAAAGAAAAGGATGTCGTTTTTATGCCAGGCAACAGAACGAACACTGAAGAATGTGGGGGCGCTATTCGATAAGGCGAAACAAGCTTTGAAACACAACTGTTAAGCATCTTCGTGCGACGTGATCTAACAAGGTTTGAATTTAACCCATTGAGAGATTCATAACGTTGCAAATCGGATCTTTGCTCTTTATTCTATAAGCTTCTACTTGCTATTGCATGTAGTAGACGTACACCCTCATCTCACTTGCTATACTCATGAAAGGAAAATGAATTGCGGAAGAATTCCACGTTTAGCAGTACTGGGTTCCTCCCATATATGCAACTGTGTACCATCAATGCAATTGTGTACCCTCACAACTTGGCTTTCAAATGCTCCATTTCCTAGGAAATACAAATTTTGAACCAGAAACCCTAAAAAAAGAAATATTCTTCTTTTTTTAACCTAATATTATACAAGCTTATTATAATGTGCTAAGAATTCTTTCGCGTTTCTTCACGTAACATTCTGTAGAGCCAGCTTAAACTTAGATTTGCAACAAGGAGCGGCTTATCGATCGCTGTTCATTACTGTGGAATTATGGAGAGACTACCGGCATAAGGGGTCGCTGCGCAAAAGCTGCCGGCTTGCAAAATTTCATAAAAAAAAGGTTTCCAGAAATTTCATCGACGCTGAGTTTGATACTCAACTTTGTACAGGATTGCGCAATTTTTTCTAGACAGTTTAAACACATCGAAAAGACGGCTATTATCTTTTCCTGGCATAACTTCTTAACAAAACCAGCACCTTAGACTAGTGCAAAAGTTTTCAGGTTGTTTTCTTCTCTTTCTGGGGCAAGACATGGCCCCTCAACGCCCAAACCCTCTTCAGAGTTCTCTCCGTAATCCTACAGTGATGAGATGCGGTCGATGAACCCTTTCACATTCAAATCCAAGCTAAAGCCAGCTTTACAAAGTGGTATCTGGAGGTAGGCAAAAGACTTGTGGAAAAGCGATATGAGCGATTAAACGGTGGAACATACTTTTGGGATATCCCTCTATTATGTCTCTCTTTCTTTCTCCAATTGCAAATTACAGGACTTAAAAACGCTTATCCTCCAGTGACAAAACAGACGTGCCCGCCCGAAACGAAATATTGTTTGACGTATGATTCACCAAACTTACACATAAAGTGCCCGTGATTGACGTTGCATATTTAGAAGTACGTCAACAACAGAGTCCAAGCAGATAATCTCAACCCTATACCGCTGTGCTACTTCCGCTGATTGCAAGGTAAACATTACATTGTTTGAACGTGCGATTTCAGTCACTTCCTTCCTTGACGTCCAAGAATTTCATTCGCTATTTGTGGGTTACTCGATAGAAAATAGAGACCCAGCTACGTATGTGAAATTTTTTTCCAGAAAGAAGGCTGCGTAACACGTAAATACCTAAACAAACCGTACCAACCCTACTACGAGAAAAATTGCTGCTGTGCTTCTGATGGTTGCAACAAAAGCTAAACAAAAGGAATATCTACAATAAGCTGTACCAGTAATACCCATATCTTGGGCTTTTATTTTGGGCGGAATAAATTTATTTGCAATGTATTTTCAAGAACAGACCGATCAATCTATTCAAGTCTAGGTAGTCGCAAATTTTTTAGAAGCATTTAACAAGTGTACACTTAGAAATGACAAGCTTAGCACTCACACTTACCTGGTGTATCGAAATGTATCTAGACTTAACCCTGCGCAAAACAGGAATGTGAGCTATACTAAAAGAAAGTTGAAGTAGAGTTTATCTTTTGATAATGGAGTCAATGTGAGCAACTGCAGAGACAGCAGACAAGTGTAAGCCTTCTAAGAACTGTAAGATATTACACATCTATGCAACAAAATCACACTCACTACATCTTCTTACTATTACAAATCATAACCTCTTATAATGATGTTTTACTGATGTCGCTCGTTGGACGATGCACAAACTCTTGCAGTCATAAAGAATTTCGAAACACTGCTGCTCCTTTTCATGAGATACAGGGTTTCAAAAGTAAGTACGCACATTTGTTCGTTGATAATTCCTTTCCCACTGTCTTTTCCTTAGCTTTGAGTACCATCTGTCAGGTATAAGGGTTAGCTATTTCCTTACCTGATGTGTAGCGGGTTTACATAGGCTCAATCAATATATTTATTACAAATGGTTATATACAAAGGGAGAAAGGCTAGGGGAAGGCAACCGGCTAGTGCCGGCGGTAACTGCCAGAGGTTGGCTGTCATCGACCAACCTCCTTCTCGAGCAGCTGTTGTAGCTAGCTGCATCCCGACATCTCCATTCCTTCAGAAAGCTCCTCCTTGAGCTTGTGGCATAGCTGAGGGTTCGACTGTTGTAGTTGCTATTGGCGTAGTTGATGTTCTTCCGGGTAATTGCGTTGGCATATGCACGTAATATACGGCGAAAACATACAAATTGAAGTGTGAATATATTTAAGTGACATATTAACCTTAAGGATACGGAAACAGTGGACTGCAAGCAGACACGACCTTCACCTAGAATATCCCATGGCTTGGAGTAAGATCGTCCTCGAGCTTTGAGGTAACTGAGGGAAGTGTAGGAGACTGCGGAAAAATGCAATTGACTTGAATGGGGTTTCCGACGTAATGATGGGAAGGGACTGGAGTGGAGTTATAGATAATGGAGATCGGATAGTTGATTTGGAGGCGTAGTAGAAAATATGGTGGGGGAGGCAGATGATCAAACATTTGGTGTATGTGATTTTACAGCGTTTAGTGGATCGTAATCAAAACTAACAAACATGCGAGATCGTAGATGTGAAAAACGACTCAACAAAGATTTACATTAAAGTGGGAAACGATAAATAACAGTGTATGCAGAAAATATGCATAGTAGTGACTGAATAACCATAACACGGTATAGCGTTAATACTGCAAAATTAGAAATTTTTCTTCATACTAGCATTTTCTGTGAGGAACTGCATGTTATAACAGGGGCAAAACGAGGTTCATATGTTGAACTGGGCACCGCACACTTTTCTTCACTCAACAAAATTTTGTTGTTACATGAAGTTTGTTTTTGGTTTATGCTGCTTAATGTAAGGCTCGGCATAGTTTCGCAGAGCAGCTACTACTAACAAGGGAAGTACCCCGAGTGGCCGTGGCCTTTTAATATGAGATGCATATCGTCTGAAGCAGCTTCGAACGCTGATTTCAAATCTGCTTTCCGTTTCTGCGAAACGTTCTTCTGAAGAGAGTTATGGAAGCCTGAAAATCCTATTTTGGAGGCGCTCCTTGAGTTTGAGAGCGCTGCTATGTGCGTTGGTGGTGCAGTGGTGTAATGGTTAGTTGTTGGCATTGAAGGCGAAAGGTTACTGGTTCGAATCCGGTGCAGAGCGAACCGTTTTGCATTATGAATGTGAGTTTAAAAAGCACTCTAATTCGTCTACAGACACTTATAGGCACTATTGTAGGCAAATGTGACCTAAGGAGAAAATTTTCTGGCAGAATCGTTTGCTTGTTGAGAATTGTTCTATGTCCAATTCATGCCATTCGGCCTCTCGCAGAATAGTAGCAAAACTAGTGATTATTTTCTGTTCCTTTCGTGATGGTGCGCGAGTGATCGGACAGGAGCCAAATTCCTTTACCAGGGTTGTGAGCACAAAGGCAGGAGAGAACATGATTAATGATTATTCGCATTTTTTCAGCTTTATATGGTAATGAACATGTTTCACCATGTTTGGTCCTGTTTTACTTTTAAAGAAGTCAAGTAGAGTTCAGGGTCTCATTACAAGCAGTTCTGCCAAAAAAATTTTTTCTTAGGTCACATTTGCCTACAACAGTGTCTGTAGACGAATTAGAGTGCTTTTTGAACTCACATTCATAATGCAAAACGGTTCGCTCTGCACCGGATTCGAACCAGTGACCTTTCGCCTTCAATGCCAACAACTAACGATTACACCACTGCACCACCAACGCACATAGCAGCGCTCTCAAACTCAAGGAGCGCCTCCAAAATAGGATTTTCAGGCTTCCATAACTCTCTTCAGAAGAACGGAAAGCAGATTTGAAATCAGCGTTTGAAGCTGCTTCAGACGATATGCATCTCATGTTAAAAGGCCACGGCCACTCGGGGTACTTCCCTTGTAAGATAGATAAAAACAACTTAGGTAAGGTGATTGATATTCGCCAGCCTTAACGAAGTCAGTTTTGAACAACTATTTATTAGCAAGGAGACAAATTGTGCGATTGGGCAAAAAAAAACAAGCGACCTCCCTAACTAAGATGAATGAACTACAAAAGACCGTACTTGAGCCGTCGGCCAGCGGCGATGAATCACTATGGCCGATACTGAGTAAATGACAGTGTGAATTACTAACTACGAAACTATCAGGCAAGAGCAGGAGAGTCCGAAAAGAGCTTGAGAAACTACATTGAGTGAGAACAAGAGAAAGGTACAAACGCACAGTTAAAGGCTTCCCACGGTCTCTTATGTACAGGGTGTCCCAAAAGTAAGTACAAACTTTTCAATCGTTGCTATCTCTCTTTCCATTGGGTCTTTTACCACCATTCACGTACCATTCCGTAGAGGAGGCTTTAATTTAGATTTGCAGTATCAATTGAATCACCGATCTCTCTTCATCACTGTAGAAGTACTGGGAACTTCGACAAGGATTTTAAGTTATTGGAAGCCATATTCTGCCTTGGAACTTAACCACACAAGCCAAAAACTCTTATGTTATAGTAATAGAAGCCGCTAATTTCGAATATGAAATGTCCACTTCACTATGATGTTTCTTCCCTAAGTTATCTCAAACATACCGTGATAACCGAATTTCTAGTATTTGTCAGAAATGCAATTACAACATCAGAAAAGCTAAAAACACGCGTAAAAAGTTGTGCAGTAGAATCAGGCTGCGCGAAAACCCTAGTACACGATTTTTCATTTTGAAAAAAATTTTGTCAGATGGCATATTTTTCACAATGGTTCCACATGCTGGAAGTTCTTACCGTGATCCTACAGTAACGAAGAGCGGTCGGTGATTCGTCCATATTGTAAATCTAAGTTGAAGCCTCCTCTACAGAATGTACTTGAATGACGGAAAAACACGCAAAGGGAAGAGAGATATTGACGATTGAAAAGTGTGTGCTTTTGGGACATCCTGTTTATTTCTTACTAGTTGGCAAACCCGGCTCCGCCCGGCCCTGTCAATAACATATGTGTAATCAGCATGCTCGATTACCCCCCTGCGCCAACTCCCAGCCCCGTAGCTCAGATTTTGCAAAAAATCGATAAAATCGATATCGATCGATAACGAAAAGTAGCCTATGACACCCGCCGGGGCCCGAAGTGTACAGTCTGCCCCAATCGGGATCAGGCCGAAGCGTCGGCGTAAATTTGCGAGGTCGCAGCGCTAGCGGTCTGCGCAGCATATGCGCGCTGTTGGAGAGAGCCAAAGGACTGAAGAGAGGGCAGAGAAGCAGGCCGTGGGCGTGACCGCGAAACCCTAGCGACGCGGACTCCCGCCATGCCAATTTTGGCCTGGTTAGGATTGGGGCAGACTGTATGTGTGCCAAGTTTAGTCCGGATCGGTTCAGAAATGGAATTTTCTATTCGGAACATACGTACAGACAGATATACAGACATACAGACAGACAGACAGACAAACAGACATTCAGCTATATATATAAGATGGGTATGAACATGCGCAGTCACTTAAAACATAGCAAATTGGTATCCAAGTTAACATTGCCTAATGGAAAGTACACAAGTTTTCCAACAAGTCTTATCCTCAAAGGTTTTCGTGAATTTCTTTCTCTTGTTTTGATAGTTCGTCTTCGTCTTATTTGATGTCATTCAGCTGCTACAATGTTTGCTTACTCACTCGTTGTGTAAACCTCAGATCCGTCGTTCGTGCGTGTGCGGAATGCTTGACAAAGCACATTACATCTACGGGGGATCGAAAGGTTGCGTCCCGCAACCTTAATGTCAGAGACTTATTGAGTATAAAGGTAATCAGCATTAGTTCGTTTTCTGTTTTTTCTTTCAGAGGCGTCGGTAGTCGTCAACGGCTTCTTCTAAATTGATGGATCTTTTGCATCAATTAATCGTGGAAGACGATGATGCTTCATACTGACGTAGTTAAATAAATCCTTTTCCATTACTGTATGACACATCACTACTACACACATGCACAATGCGGTTCGCGCCCGGGGCAAATGGAATGGTTGCGCGGCCGGTGCCTTGACGCGAGTCCAAATCCTAACTAAACTAAAGTGCCATTTGCCTCGTCCATACTGGTCGTCTTGCGCAACCATTATCTTTTAGACCGGGCATCAAATCCAATACATCAAACTACTTCTAAATAAGATGGGAAGAAGGATCTGCCTAATTATGGACGGTATCTTCCAAATGCCTTGACAAACGGAGTTAACATTGCGAGGCCTCTCCGTCACTACTCGATTTTAGAGTTGGATTCCAACTGGAGCCAACATCAAATCTGTAGAATTGCAGCAGTCACTGAATTTGGAGTAACATCCTCTTCGCATGTTTTCTAGATGGGAATCTAATGCAACACGGATGACGAACTTGGTTTTGAAACACATTGTAGCCGATTTTCTGTTTTCATTTTCCGCAAATGCGCCCAAAACTCCACCATGAAATCTACACGTGCCATTCAAATTTCCGTAATTTTAAACATAAAACTCACAAATTTTTCTAATCACAGTATGATGTAGCTGAAAGCTTGCTCTATCATATAGCACATCTTCTGAGCGATAGGATTTATTTTCGTGAAAAATTGGGGCAAAATTGATGATGACTGCCTGCGTGCCTCGGCAGTGGTAATCGTCAACAGTTTTAAGGCTTCCGTTATCAAAAAAAGATGCTACCACGAAATTCGAATGCTGTGTTGTATTTGCTGCTTTTTGAATAATATGTATACCAAATTTTATACCCCCATGTTGTTCCGTTCTGTTTTTATCAGAAAAAATACTAAGCTACAGACTTTTGGGACACCCTGTACTTATATCAAGTAAAAGGAGTAACAATTTTTCTTCTACGACATTACAAAACATGGGCGAATACAGTTGTTGAAAAAAATTTTTCTTCTTTTTTCTCTTCTTTCTCTACCTTCTTCTCTCACTCTGAAAAAGGTCTTGTTTATGCAGCTTCGTTTAATCGACATGCCTTTTGTGCTTCCCGTCCAAAATGGTGAAGTTAGGTAGAGCAACAGCAATAACTGGAAACGGTCCTTCAGACCGAGTTGCAAGCTTACGTCCAGCATCTTTCCTTATCCAAACTCTCTCTCCTATCTGATTTTGTGCCTTTGGGATCCTTGCTCTCGAATCGTATTGATGTTTCTGTTAATCCTGTGCCTTTATCAAGTTCGAGTAGACATTTTGATACGTATCCTTCAAATTTTAACGAGATCGTCCACATAATCTTCCGTATCCGCGTATTTCTTTGTTGGTAACTGAAGCGGCTAGGTGTAATATATTTGTGGGGTTGCAGTCATGGACAAGAAAAAATGGTAAAAATTTAGTTGAGGCGTTTTCCGCACTGTTGCGAGCATGAACCACAAGGTGAAGAATGTAACCTCTCGTCACTATGTTGGCGAGTAACGATAGCGATTTGTTCTTTTAATGTACGTTAATGCGTTCCACTTGTCCATTTGATTGATGATTATATGAGGTGCTTGTACGGTGTTCGACGTGCAAAATCCGTAGAAGGGTACGAAAGGTCTCGCCGATGTAATTCAATCCTTGATCTATCACCATTATTTGTGGTAGTCCAAACCTAGCTATGAAGCGGGTGGTAAAGATGCGTTACGTAGTGTCGATCTTTTGATCAGGTATTGGTTCCGCGACTAAGTATTTGGATAATGAGTCTATGAAGGCAATAATATACTTATTTCCGTCCATTGTTAGCGGTAGAGGGCCAATTACATCTGAATGCACTCGCTGCCACAGCCTGGAGGAGGATATTTCGAACGGGCGTAAAGGTTTTCTTATTCTGTAAGCGCTCGGATCCTTCCTCCTTGCTTGGCATAACTCACATACATTAATGAAGCTTGCGATATTTCTGCGCATGTGATTCCAGATGGCGATTTTCTCGACAGGGGCATGGGCTTTACTAATTCCCAAGTGTGCCTGCCGTCGCTACTTGGGATTGGTATGCCAAAACGATGATGTCATTCTTGATTTGGGACGATTCCGGTAGTACCATTTAGGGATCTTGATATAAAAAATTTGGTAGTCTGTAAAGGATGTCATTTATAAGTAGGTAGTTGGATGACCTCGCGGTGTTTTCGTTATTTGCCAGCGCCATCTTAATTCCTGCGATTCATGTGCATTCATCTTGTTTCTTCCTTATGGCGTCTAGCTGAAGGTTATCCTTCCCTACTGACGTGATCATTTATAGCTGGCGGTAAAGTCGAGACAGCGCGTGACATACTGCGTTCCTCTTCCCTGAGCGATAGATAGCTTCGATATCAAATTCCTGCAGCACGCCTTGATATTTAGCCAATCTCCCAGTAAGATCTTCCGGTAGAGTAATGCTTTGAGTGGCGCATGGTCGGTGATGATCGTGCATTTCGCTCCCTCTATAGATGGTCGAAACTTCTGCACCGCATAAACCAATCCTAAGGCTTCAAGTTCTATTGCTGGATATCTCGCTTCATGTTCGTTCAGAGTGCGGCTCGCATAAGCGATAACGCGCTCCAGACCTCCTTGTTTCTGCTTGAGGACTCCGGCGACACCTTTCGCTGAGCTATCAGTCTCGATAATGAAAAATTTACTTAGTCGTGGTGATGCAAGAATAGGTGCTGTTGTTAAAGCTTGCTTCACATGATCCACCGCCTCCTTACATTGTGGTGTCCAATTAAAGAAAACATTTTTTGTTAGAGCGATAAGTGGTGCGTCGATGGTGAGCACATGTCCAGAAAGGACTTAATCTCCGTAGGATTCGTCGGTTACGGATATTGATCGATTGCTCTGGTTTTCTCTGAATTTGGTCTTATTCCTTCCTTACTTAGGATGAATCCTAAAAACTTGATTTCCTCCTTCGTAAACTCACATCTCAATGCCTTTAAGCACATTCCTGTGACTTCGATCTTCCCAACTACTTCGTCGATATCTCCCAGATGTTCTTGTGGACTTGCCGAAGTACAATACAAATGGAGACTCTTGCCTTCAAGTACTTACTGAAATCATCCATTATCCTTGGAAAGTGGCAGGGGCTCCTCTAAGTCCCATGAGCATGCGAACGTACTCGAATGCTCCCAAAAAGCATGCGAACGCCGTCCTTTCACAGTGTTCTTCTTCCAGTGATATCTTGTAAAAACCCTGCTGGAAATCAAGGGACGAATAAAGGCATTGATTAGCACATAAATCAAAATATCCTGGATGTTTGGTAGGATTGATTGCTGTGGTTTGGTAATGGCATTAAAGGCAGTGCCCAGGCAAATCTGGGCATATGGGTTTTTTGCCTGGAAACTGTTGAGGAGGTCCTAGCTAAGACACTGCCCAAACCGCAGCGCAAATAAATCATTTACGGCTGAGTAATCCATCCATAAACATTATGCGGCTGCGCCGTAACAGTAACACTTAGGATGGGTCCCAACGCGAATGTAGTGTTAAAGTGAGCGAAATCGTTTCGGACGTCACGGCGCAGGCGCGGCTCAGACATTCGCAGTTAAGTCCCGCCGGAGATCCGCCCACAAAATGAGAATTCGCGAGAAAACCGGGAGTCTTGCGTGACACACGGTTTTGTCCCGACTAGCGGGATAATCCCTACACAAAAAATGAAGCGGGAGAAAACCGGGAGTCGCGATCTCGGGGCGCGCTCCTAGTGTCTGAGCGTAAAGGACACTTGCGTGAAATACGACGCATGGTCAGAATACCCTCAATGTCCACAACCTTGGACGTGTTTCCATTCTTACCGGCAAGAACACTATCAATATGTTGTCCAACCTTTGATAGGGTCTTGTCGCTATTCAACTTTGAACTCGGACTTGGTTTCCGAAGCTGCTGTACGGTGGCTTTAATTGATTTTTGATGAGCGGGAGTCCCGCCGGTGAGCGAATCGTGACATTATCGGGACTCCCGCAGGAGCTCCCGGTTTTCTCAGTAGAAAATACTAGTTGGCATACTCGGCTCCGCCCGGGCCTGTCAATAATATATTTGTAATCAGCATGCTCGATTACCCCCCTGTGCCAACTCCCAGCTCTGTAGCTCAAATTTTGCAAAAAATCGATAAAATCGATATCGATCGATAACGAAAAGTAGCCTATGACACGCTCCGTGCCCCGAAGTATATGTGTGCCAAGTTTGGTCCAAATCGGTTCAGAAATAATAATTTCTATTCCGCACATACGTACAGACGTACAGACATTCAGCTTTATGAACGAATCTATATCTATTAGGTCGGTGCAAAAGTTTTGTCAGTTTTTTGAATTGACTCGCAAAGTCGGCACAGTAAAGATAATCAAACACTTCAAGCTGTATCTGATGCAGAATTTCTTCCTCTTTTTAGCAGCTATTCCCAGCATGATTCGTTGAGAGGGAGCTGAGATAATTGCTGGAAATCACAACCCGTTGTTTTCACCATGTCCAACTTCCGCTAATTTTCAGAATCTTTTTTGAGACTTTTTGAAAAACTGTGATAGCCAGCAGATAGGGCGTAATTTGTGCCAACTTATGCCATTTTTTATAGTTCTGTAGATTGTCTTTTACAATCTTTACAATTTATCTTTTGAGTCAATCGAAGTTTATATTTCTCCTATTATAACCTCATAGAATGTGAAAGAGCAAACAGTTCAGGTACCATTCAATGCACCTTTTTCTCCTCTTTCTAAAAGTTGTTTTTTCCTGACGAGACTAGAGAAATTTGAGAGGAAAATTGCTCTATTTCTTACTTTGACGAGTGTGCACTGGAGAACCCTACGTTTCTAAATCTTTATTTTTGACGCGAAAATCGCTCATTTACTTTGCTAAGTTAGTATAAATAATGATAGAGTGTTGAAACCTCGATACGCTAGAGATTTCGCAGTGTTTGGTGCAGTAAATGTCATGCGATTCTTTCAAAACTCAAGACTTTTAGAGAATAATTTATCAAAATTGTAAAAGTGTTGTCAAAAAATCGAAGAAAATTGCTTTGGTTGGCAAAAGGTTAGCCCTATCTGCTGACTGTCAAAGCTCCCTCAAAAGTCTCGATTAAGAATTTTGAAAATTGGCCAAAGTCAGACATGGTAAAAACGGAGGGTTGTGATTTCCAGCAATTATCTGAGCTTCCTCTCAACAAATCACGCTGGGAGTATAGCGTTGGAAAGATGGAGAAATGTTTGTTTATCTTCACCTGAGGAAATTCGCGAGTCAATTCAAAAAACTGACAAAACTTTTGCACCGACCTAATACAGGGTGTCCCAAAAAAATGTTTAGAACGTTTGATCGTTATATCTCTCTTCCCAAAAAGTCTTTTGCCTTGCTTCAGGTACCGTTTTGTAGAGCTGGCTTCAACTTAGATTTCCATTATAGAACGAATCACCCATCTCTCTTCATTACTGTAGAGTTACGGTAGAAACTTCAAAGAGGGTTTTGAACCATGAAAGGCCATATTTTGCCTCAGAAAGGAAACAAAACAGCCTGAAAACTTTTACGCCAGGCTAATTAGAATTGCTGATTATAACTGTAAAGTTCCCAACTTATTATGATGCTTCATTGAAGAGTTATGCCAGGTGAGAGGTAGCGGCCTTTTTTTCAATGTTCCTAAAAAGTGCGATTACACCGTTTAGAAAGCTTCGTAATCTTGTGAATAGTTGAGTATTGAACTCAGCGTCTATAAAAACCCTATCACACAAGCTTTCACAATTTTTGAAAAATTTTGAAACGGCAGCTTTCTCCACATTGATCTCCACATTGACACCATATGTTTCAAGTTTCTACCGTAATCCTACAGTAATGAAGAGAGATGGGTGATTCGTTCTATAATGGAAATCTAAGTTGAAGCCAGCTCTACAAAACGGTACCTGAAGCAAGGCAAAAGACTTCTTGGGAAGAGAGATATTAACGATCAAACGTTCGAAACATTTTTTTGGGACACCCTGTATTAGGATTAAAAAGTTGATAAACGTGGCCTGTGTAATCTAAAATAGGCGCTATGTAGCCAATGATGCTCTACATAACAGTCATCAGCGCTCTTCGAAAATAACGGGGGAAGAATTTTTCAAACGGGAAAGATTTGGCGTTACTGTTGAAATTTGAAATGTTGAAATTTGACCAAAATTTTGCTCAAGAAAAAAACTCATGCTCTTTGCAAGTGTACCTGAACTGTTCGTTATTGTATACAAATGAAGGAGATAGAAGCTCAAAACCAAAATTACTCAAAATTTGAATTTTTCCTGCAGTCATAAAAAATCGGAGACTTGCAACAAAAACGGAGCAGTCGGTATTGTAGGTTCTTTCACCAACTCTTTCTAAGCGCAAAGCTTGCGCTGATTGAGCGTCTCTATAAATAGTTATGATTTACGCGAAAAATGCCAAAATAAATCAAATTCGCCCTTTTGTATTGCTTGCTCTAAAATCGTAACTTTTCATAGAGACGCTCAATCGGCGCAACTTTGCACTGTTGCAAAGAGATGGTGAAAGAACCTACAATACCGACTGCTCCAATTTTTGTTTCAAGTCTCCGATTTTTTATGACCCTGCAGTAAAAATACAAATTTTGAGTGATTTTGGCTTTGAGCTTCTATCACCTTCATTTGTACACACTAACGAATAGTTCACGTACAGTTGCAAAGAGCATGAGTTTCTCTCTTAAGCAAAATTTTGATCGTACAAATTCGTTGAGAATTTAAAGAGTTATGAATATTCGAAAATGGTGCGAATGAACTTTCGTGCCAGCTTAATATTACATCACTGATGATCCAGTAATAGGTTTGAGAATTAGCTCCAGAAAACAGCCTCAGAAAACCGCATCGATGCAATTTTGGTAATAAAATAAAGTTGACGGTTGTAAGACTTTAGACTTTACAACCGCAAACGTATATGTTGCTACCAGTGGCGTACCCAGGATTTCCTCGGGGGGGGGGGGGGGACGGCAAAAAAATTTTTCAAATGAAGGTGCGTGGCGTCAGGAACAAAAATTTTTTATAAGGCTAATTTGAATTCTTAGAAAATTTCAAAAATTATTTTAATTGTTTACAAAAATAAACAAATCACTTGCACATTTTTATAAATCATGTAAGTAACTTTCAAAAATTTCGCGACCCGTTCTCGGGGGGAGGGAGGGGGCGCGAGTCCGCCCCCTCCCTCCCCCCGAGAACGGGTCGCGAAATTTTTGAAAGTTACTTACATGAGTTATAAAAATGTGCAAGTGATTTACGCCACTGGTTGCTACTGATATAAAGCTCCTCGCGTCAAAGATTTGGCAGAATTACTAGCAAAATTATTAGAGGAAAATGCGCTTTTGCCAAAGACCATAATAATAACGAACTGTTTTCTATACAAAGTAAGTCATCGTTAGGTTATTAGACCAACTTATTTTGAATTCACAGGCAGTGCTAACGTACAACGAGTGTATGAGGTAATTTATAAGCAGAACGTCATGGAATGCGTTTAAAAGTTAACGTGTACCACCTTATTTCAACAATTTTCTTCTTTAGTTTATTGCCAATTTAAGGGATGTTCTGTGCTAAAATTTGAAAAAAACCACTGTAGCCATACACATCAACGAAGTGGCTAAGCTTCACATGAGACCGGCATGCTAGTGAGTTCGGAACCTAGTTGGTCAAGCCTACTCACTAGCCGAAACGCACAAAACATAGGAGAAGATCCGTGGTTGCGACCATAGAAGTTGAAAACCTGAGTTTTGACGAATGCGGTTACAGGTGGTAGAGTCTTCGCAGTTTGATGCACTTCTGACGTTATACCACATTTCAAAGCGATAAACTGAAGCGAAAAGACAATACGTTGATAGCAACTAGCCATCCAATACATGAAGAATCGCAACGCTAATCAAAAAAACATCAAACAGCGGGAAACCGCTGCGGTCGCGAAGCGCGAATGCAAATTCAGCACCTTCAGTTACTCACCAGTTGAA